CTGGCTGCCCAGGCGGGTCTTGAACCCGTGGGCTCAGGCAATCCACTCACCTCAGCTTCCCAAAGGCGGGGGATTACAGGCTGAGCCACCGAGCCCGGCTGACTTGAAATTTTTACAGTAAAGTTAAAAATTTTCCTCAGAGTATTTTGGGCTCTCCTGGAAGAATTTTCTTTTTCTCTCTTGCATTCTTGCTCTCTGGAGATTTTGAAGATTGGCACGCTATCTAATAGTTTTTTATTTTATTTTATTTATTTATTTTTTTGAATTGGAGTCTCACTCTGTCGCCCAGACTGGAGTGCAGTGGCCGCTCCCGGCCACAGCAGCCTCGACCTGCTGGGCTCCAATGATCCTTCCGCCTCAGCCTTACAAGTAGCCGGAATTACAGGCATGTGCTACCACGCCCTTCTGATTTTTTGATTTATTGTAGAGATGAGGTCTGGCTGCCCAGGCGAGTCTCGAACCTGTGGGCTCAGGCAACCCACTCACCTCAGCCTCCCAAAGGCGCAGGATTACAGGCTGAGCCACCGAGCCCGGCTAATAGTTTTTTCAAATTATGCCTTTTATTAAACAACAATTTTGGCTCAGTGGCTCACGCCTGTAATCCCAGCACTTTGGTAGCTGAGGTGAGAGAATTTCTTGAGCCCAGGTGTTCAAGACCAACTTGAGCAACATAATGAGACCTCATCTCTACAAAAAAATACAGAAATTAGGTGGGCATGATGGCATGTGCCTGTAGTCCCAGCTACTCGGAGGGCTGAGGCGGGAGGGTCATCTGTGCCCAGGAGGTCAAGGCTACAGTGAGCCAGGATTGTGCCACTGTATTCCAGTCTGGGTGGCAGGGTGAGACTCTGTCTCAAAAAAAAAACAAAAACACAACAACAACAAAACAAAACAATACCTCTGAATTTTGGAAAATGCAGAAATTTTATTTCTTTCAGTGCCTTTACCTCTTCCCTACATTCTTTCAGATTTGGCTTTTTTTTTTTTTTTTTTTTTGAGTTGGAGTCTCACTCTGTCGCCCAGACTGGAGTGCAGTGGCCGCTCCCGGACACTGCAGCCTCGACCTGCTGGGCTCCGGCGATCCTTCCGCCTCAGCCTTCCAAGCAGCTGGAATTACAGGCATGCACTACCACGCCCAGCTGATTTTTTTGATTTATTGTAGAGATGAGGTCTTGCTGCCCAGGCGGGTCTCGAACCCGCGGGCTCAGGCAATCCATTCACCCAGCCTCCCAAAGGCGCGGGATTACAGGCTGAACCACTGAGCCCGGCTTTTTTTTTTTTTTTTTTTAAGCTATCAGCTCTTATTGCTCTTTTTTCTTTATTTGTTCTTACCGAGGATATTGTCAGCCAAGACTCATGTTTTCCTTCTCCTAATATTGTCATGCATTTTTTTTTAAGTCAGAGTGTCACACTGTTGCACAGGCTGGAGTGCAGTGGCACACTCACGGCCACTGGAGCCTCAACCTGCTGGACTTAGGCAATCCTTCTGCCTCAGCCTTCTAAGTAGCTGGAACTACAGGCATGCACCACCACGCCTGGCTAATTTTTATTTATTTTTTGTAGAGACAAGGTCTCACCAAGTTGTCCTGGAATCAGGCAATCCTCTCCCCTCAGCCTCCCAAAGTGCTGAGATTACAGGCTTGAGCCATTGTGCCCAGGGGCAAGCCTTCTTTTTACCACAGCATTTTAATGTTTCTGGTGTGCTTTGGCTCCAGAGAGACTGTTATATTTTCTTGTTCACCTTTAGCATATAACTTATAGCCGCTTATCATTTCTTTGGGCCTTCTCAACAGGTGACAGTTCCTTCTTTCTCCGCACCTGGCTCATGACCCCACTTCACATTCCTGAAACCCCAGCAGAATATCGCTATAACATGGCCCATTCTGCGACTCACAGTGTGATTGAGAAGACTTTCCGAACACTCTGCTCCCGATTCCGCTGCCTGGATGGATCCAAGGGGGCACTGCAGTACTCACCAGAGAAATCCAGCCACATCATCTTGGCTTGTTGTGTTCTCCACAATATCTCCTTGGAGCATGGGATGGATATTTGGTCGTCCCCAATGACAGGACCCATGGAGCAGCCCCCTGAAGAAGCGTATGAACACATGGAGTCCCTGGACTTAGAGGTTGATCGTATCCGTCAGGAACTAATGCTCACTCATTTCAGCTAATGTGGAAGGTGGGGAGGAAGACTGCAGAAAAGGTTGTGAGAAACTTTGCCCCTCACTACCTTCTACACAGTTTCATATCTAGCGTGACTGAATGTGTAGACACTTGTCATACACTGACATTTAATCTGTGTGCTTTAGAAGGGTTGGGGCTATGCCGGAATATCTTGATTCATTCGTAAATGTATTAAATAAAGCAAAGTCAGCACAACAGTTCCCTACTATCCAGTGAGCTCCACATTAAATACCATTCATTTGAAAGTTCACTGGTTTACTTCTGCTTCCCAAAGTGCTGGGATTACAGGCTTGAGCCATAAAAAGAGCCAGGCTCGGTGGCTCAGCCTGTAATCCTGCGCCTTTGGGAGCTGAGGTGAGTGGATTGTCTGAGCCCACGGATTTGAGACCCGCCTGGGCAACTTGGCGAGACCTCATCTCTACAATAAATCAAAAATTAGCCGGGCATGGTAGCGCGCGCCTGTAGTTCCAGCTACTTGGAAGGCTGAGGCGGAAGGATCGCCGGAGCCCAGCAGGTCGAGGCTGCGGTGGCCGGGAGCGGCCACTGCACTCTAGCCTGGGCGACAGAGTGAGACTCCAACTCAAAATAAACACAAAAAAATTCACTGGTGGCAAACATGATTGTGCCTACAAAGTCATAGTAAATGAGAAAACAACATATAGCCAAAACTTTTGTTGACTTCATTTATCTGTACATTTGAAATGAAAACAGTTCTTATTCTGAATTTTCTGGATGTTATGTCAGTTTTTCTACTTTGCTGGCTGCATAGTTATAATCTGAGTTAAGTGTGAGAAGTGAGCTGAAATTGGGAAATGGTCTTTTTTGTTTGTTTGTTTTTTTGTGAGTTGGAGTCTCACTCTTGTTGCCCAGGCTGAGCCAGAAGGATCACCTGAGCCTTCCAAGTAGCTGGAACTATAGACACACGCCACCACACCTGGCTAGTTTTTGTGACTTACTGTAGAGACGAGGTCTCACCAAGTTGCCCAGGCTGCTCTCAAACCCCTGGGCTCAGGCAATCCTCTCGCTTCAGCCTCCCAAAGTGCTGTAATTATAGGCTGAGCCATCACACCCGGTTGGGAATGGTCTGTGACCTAAGTGGCTACTCATCTGAGTTTGTAGCTTTGTGTCTTTAAGAGGGTGTTAAGGACCATCTAAAACCTCCATCTTTAGCTTGTATGCAATAATTGGACTGTGATTTAGACCTCGTTCCTAGAGAGAACATCTGGACTCCAGTCTTCTATTACCAACCCTGAGTCAGAGTTAGAGGCTAAGTGGGTTTAAGAACCGAATCAGGAGCCGGGCTCGGTGGCTCAGCCTGTAATCCCGCGCCTTTGGGAGGCTGAGGTGAGTGGATTGCCTGAGCCCGGGGGTTCGAGAGCCGCCTGGGCAGCGAGACCTCATCTCTACGATAAATCAAAATATCGGCTGGGCATGGTAGCGTATGCCTGTAATTCCGGCTACTTGGAAAGCTGAAGCG